GTCCTCCCTTGGGAATTCAGATCAGATGGGAGACTTTGACTGCTTCCCACCATAGGAAAGTCCAAGTGGAAATTGAGTGTAGTCAAGTAAGCTACATGTTAGAACAAAAAATTGGGATTAGGCAAGGGTACAAAATAGAACCTGAAGTCTGTATAATTATGATTCAAAAACATAACCTAAGATATTATCACAGACCGAAAAAAGCAACAAAAATGTGACCCACTCCCAAAGGAGAGGGAGCACGGAGGTAGTCTTGATATTAGAACCATCAGACACGGGTGTTAGAGTGGCTGGTACCTAAACTCGTGATGTGTAAAAGGGGAAAAAAAGGCAGACTGCTTTTTCCTAATGCAGAATGATTGGAATTTGAAAGCAGGAAAAGAAAATACATATGAGGGAAATCTAGGAGTAACAGTTATATTTCTGCTTTGTTAGTTTATATCATTGATATTTGGAGGGAGGGGGCTGCTAAAATGATCATTTGCTGCTGTTTAAGTGTGTCCCTGTGGTAGTTGACAACATACATGTGGTTGTGTACAGGACTTTTCCCACAAGGAGCTGATAAGTTCATAAAGAAGTCAACAAGTCTAAACATTTGCCCAACATCATTTGCCTACTTAGAAGAGTGGGAACATTCACAGGCTATACAGTCGTTTGCTTGGGGGCTGTCTTTGTGGGGGCCCTAGTAGCAACCACTGCTGCCTTTTGAGAGGCTGGCTTTGCCTTTTCTGCTTCCTTGGCAGCCCTGAGAGCCTGTTCTCATGGGACCTTTCTAACTCCAGGCTTCTGATTCCTCTTGGCCATTCTATCAGCAAGAGATGCACCAGTGGTGGCCCTCTGGAATTTGACTGCAAGGGGGGGTTCCTTTCTTTTGAATTTCTTCCGATTGCCCATTTTTGTGCTTCCTTCTGTAGAAAAATGTACAATTTATCTACCAAGGGTTCCTCTTGGAAAGGAATGCTGATTTATATTCTGCATTAAGAAATCAGAAAACCTTTTCTTTGGTCCTGGCATAGCACTTCCCATGTCCGGGGTAAATCTTGTACCCGCTGAAACTGCACAGCTTGACCTTCACGGCTGTGGCAGCAGAGAAACAGGAAAGATGGCGAAGGGTCCAACACATCATTTCATATTAGCATCTGAGATTGAAGCCAAGATGTCACCTTGAGGGCTAAGGTGTGCCCGAGCAAACTTAGGGAATCTTCAATCACCTCCTATGAATGCAAACAACGCCCCACGAGTAGGAAATAACCAAGAAGAGTAGATGCATTGGCATGATGGTATTGGCAAAGAAAACGAATATACCAGAAGATGGAATATACCAGAAGATGGAATATACCAGAAGATGGTACAAATCTGTTGCAGAAGTTGTAAAACCAGAAATCTTCTGAAAAGCAAGGATGGCAAGACTTTGTCTTACGTATTTTGGACATACACGTTAGCACGAAGTAACAGTCCCTGGAGAAGACCCCATGCTTGGTGAGGTAGAGGGTCA